AATTGAAAATGTAATTAAAACTTACCAACAAAGAAAAGCCCAGGTCCTGATAGATTCACTGCTCAATTTTACAAGACATTTAGAGAAGAACTACTGCCTTTACTCTTCAAACTTTTCAATGAAATTGAAAGGGAAGCTATACTTCCAAATTCATTCCTGGAAGCAAATATCACTTTGATTCTGAAACCGGGGAAAGATGCAACTAAAAAAGAGAACTACAGGCCAATCTTCTTAATGAATATAGTTGCAAAATTCCTCAGTAAGATACTAACAAACAGAATACAGAGGATCATCAAGAAGATCATACATCCTGACCAAGTCGCATTTATTCCAGGGATGCAAGGATGGTTCACCATACGTAAGTCAATAAATGTAATACACTATCTTAAGAAAGTCAAGGACAAAAACCACATGATCCTTTTGATAGATGCAGAACCAGCATTTGAAAAAATTCAACACCCATTCATGATAAAAACCCTGCAAAACATTGGAATAGATGGTCTATATCTCAACTTACTAAAGGCTATCTATGAAAAACCACCAACATCACATTAAATGGCCAAAAACTGAAAACCTTTACATTATAATCAGGAAAAGACAAGGATGCCCACTATCACCACTCTTCTTCAATAGAGTTCTGCAAACATTAGCCATAGACAATTAGACAAGAGAAAGAAATTAAAGCAATAAAGATAGGAAAGGAAGAATTTAAACTGTTATTATTTGCTGATGATATGATACTCTGCATTGAAGACACAAAAACTCCACCCAAAGACTTCTAGACTTAATTGACATTTTTAGCAGGGTAGCAGGATACAAGGTCAACACCCAAAAATCAATAGCCTTCTTGTACACAAATAACAAGACTCACTGAGAGAGAAATTAGGGCAACAATTCCTTTCACAATAGCATATAAAAAATGAAGTATCTAGGAATCAACCTAACAAAAAAAGCAAAAGACCTCTATACTGAAAACTTTAGCACTCTGAAAAAAAAAGATCAAATAGGATATAAGAAAATGGAAAGATATCCCCTGCTCCTAGGTAGGAAGAATCAACATAGTGAAAATATTCCTGGGTAGGAAGAATCAACATAGTGTAAACAGCTGTACTACCAAAATTGCTATACAGATTCAATGCAATGCCAATTGAAATTCCAACCCTATATTTCACAGAACTAGAAAAAAGAATCCAAAAATTCATTTGGAACCACAAGAGACTTAGAATAGCAAAAGCCATTATAGGCAACAGTCACATGGCACCAGGTGTAACAATTCCCAATTTGAAACTATACTACAAAGCCACTGTGATAAAAACAGCATGGTACTGGCAAAGAAACAGATCTGAGGATCAGTGGAACAGACTGGAAGACACAAAAACAACTCCAGATGGACTCAGCTACTTCACCTTTGACAAAGGAGCTAACCATCCCCACTGGAGGAAAGATAGCCTCTTCAATAAATGGTGTTGGAAAAACTGGATCTCAATCTGCCAAAGATTAAAACTAGACTTTTATCTCTCACCATGCACTAAATTAAAATCCAAGTGGATTAAAGATCTAAATATTAAAACAGAAACACTAAACTTGCTTGAAGATAAGTTAGGCAGAACTCTGGAAGACACTGGCATAGGAAAAGACTTTATGAACAAACCCTCAGTTGCATGGGAACTAGCAGAAATAATCAAAAACTGGGATCTCATCTTATTAAAAAGCTTCTGCACTGCAAAAGAAACCATCTAAAGAAGAAAGAGACAACCTACAATGTGGGAAAAAAATTTTACTAGCTGCTACTCAGACAAAGGACTATTATTTAGAATATATAAAGAACTCAAAACAATCAGCTCTCCCAAATATAAAGACCCAATTCAAAAATGGCCATCCAAAATGAACAGACATTTCTCAGATAATGAAGTAAAAGAAGTGAGTAAATATATGAAAAAATGTTCCACATCAATGGTTATTTGAGAGATGCAGATGAAAACTACACTGAGATTCCACCTCACCCCACAAAGTATGGCTGCTATTGGGAAATGAATCAATAACAAATGTTGGTGGACTTGTGGGGAGAAAGGAACCCTTCTCCATTGTTGGTGGAAGTGCAGACTGGTGCAACCACTATAGAAATCAATATGGAGATACCTCAAAAAGCTGAAACTAGAGGTTCCATTTGACCCAGCCATAGTTCTGCTGGGTATCTTTCCAAAACAATTAAAAGAATCATATCACAGTGACATATGCACACCTATGTTTATAGCAGCACAGTTTGTAATACCTAAAACATGGAAACAGACCATTTGCCCATCATTTGGAAACTGGAAAAGCACGATGTGGTTTTTCTATAAAATGGAATACTACTCAGCCATAAAGAATGATAATTAGATTCATTCATAGGAAAATGGATACATATTGAAGATATACTCTTAAGTGAAATAAATAAGTCACACATGTGTAAATACCAAATAGTTTCTCTGGTGTTAAAAACTATAATAATATATAAGATTCTAATGAAATTATTAACAATGTGAAATAGGAAGAAAAGGGCTAAAGGTGTAGGTAAATTTGGAAGGGTAGGGGAAAGGGAATAAAGAAAGAGAAAAAATATGAGAAAATTAACAAATGGAAACAAAGTGTTTGTAAATGGGGAGGGGAGCAGGGGGTGAAGGGAGTGCTGGGACAAGGAGGAAAAAATTTGAACCAAGGCTTGTCATGTAAAGGTACAGGATCCCAGTAATGAATGTAACTGTACTGAATACCTAGAATGTACTAATAAACTCAATAAAAAGAAAAAAATTAAAAAAGGCTTAGGGTCCATTTTGTAAACGGAAAAAAGAAGATTAAATATTTTGGTGATAATCTATTTCAGCCAAGTAAACAATATTTTAGAAGGAGAAAAATAATGTAATAATACCAGTTACTTCTATGTGGTAGGACTACATATTATTTTTATTCTCTTATAAATGCCTTTCTATTCATTCCTGAGTTTCTGATGTAGTATTTAAAGTGTTGAAAATGTTTTAAAATTAAAACATAATTAAGAGTAGAATATTCATCACAGGGTGTGATGTGTTTTGTACTGCATAAATATGGACTGTTATAATAATTATTTCTTAATTTATTACCTTTTTTGAAAGCTCAAGGTATGAGTCTCTCTTACTAATATTACATGAAATGTTTCCTCCTCTTCAAATTAAAAATGATGCGACACTTCTTTTCAAGGCACAAAATTCAACTGAAATAATATCTAGAAATCAGAGCACTTCCACAGGTAGTGTTGAAGTCTCTCTCTCACCCTGGATGTCCAGGGACTTTCCTGCTTGTAGGTGAAGTCAAAGACGGGATTTAGGAATTAAGAAGTTTGGGGGAAAGGTCATTTCAGGTGAAAGTGGTGGCAGAACCAAAATCAGTAGGTAAGAAACAACATACTAAATGTTGACAGGGGCATTTTGCCACAGTTTCAACATTAACACTCAGGGGAATGTTGAAAATATACTGAAAATGTAGAAAGGCTGTGAGACAAGAAAAATATTTGGTGAGTCATAGTAAAATTTTTGACAGTTGTCTCAGGGACAATCGAAAATGGTCATTGGAAAGGTGATGTTGACAGATTTACAATAGAAGCCACTCTGGAGGATGGATTGGAAGGAAAATTGTTTTGGAGGAAAAGATGCTAGACAGAAAGCTAGTACGTTTTGCAAGCAATAAGAGCATGAATTGGATTACTGTTAATATTGTGAAGAGGATACATTTCTTAAATATAAGAGGGCTTTTGTAAAATGTCATTTTATTTTAAATGAACATCAGCTGGATGGTTAATAAGGACCTGAATTAAAGATGCAGCCTCTGTGAATGTGGGCAGAGATTTACATGATGAAGTGGGTTGCATTATAGGAACTAAGGACTGGGATGATTGGTTGGACCTTGGAAATGAGGACGAAGCTAAGCCTTGGGTGACCATGTGGATAGTGTCCACAGAGACAGAAGCACAGGAAGTACAGCAAAAGAAGAGTAAAGAATTGGAAATAGAAATAGAAATTTGAGTAAAAGAAAAGGCAAAGAATTAGAAATATTATGGCCCCTGGAAGGATAAGAATTTATGCCTTAGGAAGCTAAGATTAAGGATAGAAATATAGCATTTGGGACAGACATTTAGCTCAGTGGCACCACACCTGCCTGATAAGTAGTTTGATCCCCTGTATCAAAAAAGAAGGAAGAGAGAAAGAAAGAAGAGAGAGTGGGGGGAGGGAGAGAGAGAAAGAAAAAGAGAAAAAAAGAAAGAAAAGGAGAAAGAGAGAAAGAGGAGCAAAGAAAGAAAAAGAGAGCTTTTCATTACTAATGCATAATGTCCCAAGAGGAGGGATAAAACTAGAAATCTTCATAAAATTGAAGCTGGGGCTTCTAAGCACATGGTTGAGACTGAAAAAAATTAAGTATTTAACCAAAGAAACAAACCAAAAAAGGTATACACAGTAGGTACTACAACTGTTTTCCTTAACAATGGCTGTTTTAGTGGTAGGTTAAGAGTACATTGCAGAGCACTAAAAGTGAAAAAAAGAAAGCTGAAGCAATACATACAGACATCTATTTAAATAATCTTAGTAGAAGTATAGAAAAAATTTAAAGCTTTTTCAGTATAGCAACATATTACAGTGTGTACTTGCTATACCTAGGTTAGTAATTGCTTTCAGGAAATACATTATGTTTACATAACTTTCAGCAATTGCTTTCAATATTCACTTCCATTGTATATTGGACAGCCAATTCTATAAAGTTTTCATATATCCATAATCATTTTCATTACATATATGTATATAAATATTCTTTTGGAAACTGAATTATTTTGACTGGCTGCAATGATAAAATTACAAAATATTTTAAAAGTGTCTACAGTACTTTTTGTACTAAATGGAAATATATTACATTATAGTAAGTAACCTATCCAGCATGACTGGAGATGAATAATTGATTACATTTAACTGTCTCTCATTTATTCTACCTTTCAGATGATAAATCGTTCTATTACCTTGCCTCCTTTAAAGTCACAAACATCAGATACAAAGAAAATTATGGAATGAAGTCCTCAAGAGAGTTTATAGAAAAAAGTCATCAGATTGAAAGAATGGTAAGCTTAACAGAAAATGCAAATGTTTCTGAGTGCATTTTTCTGCGACTCTTTGAATGTAGGTATTTTAGGCATTATAGTTTCCACTGCTGGGCTCTAGGTCCACTTTACAGAGGTAGAACGAGTGAGGGCAGCTGTGCCCCAGCTGCAGGGCCTACTGCTTTATGAGTTGTATATTTTCCTTCATACATATGGCGCATTGTATCCTCAAGTACCTAACTAAAAGCTTATGGGAGGTAAATTTCTTGAATTATTTCATGTTGGAAAATCCTTTATTCTGTATTTCATTCAACTGGTAGTTTTGATGGGGAAACTTTAAATTGAGAATGATTTTTCTTAAAAAATGTATTCATTTTTGTAGCTTTACTAGATGTGGCTGATGAGAAATTGTTTCTTCTTAGGTGACCAAGTTTATTACCCAAATTTTCAATAGTTTTTTTCAATTTTTTTTTGGGGGGGTACCAGGGATTGAACTGAAGTCCTTGTGCTTGCAAGGCAGGCCACCAAAAGTTTTTTTCAATTTTTGAAATTTCACAATGATGTTACTTGGTATTTAATTTTTCTTTTGTTCATTTATAAGATTAACTATAAAATGAGTACCCAAAAATCTAAGAACTAGTTTAAGGTAGGTTCTTTCACCTTTCTTTTTCAGATATTAAAAACTATTTTGAATTTCATTTAATCATTTATTGTAGTTTTATCTCCTATATATTTCCCTATGTAGTGTACTACCCAATTTTGCTTTTTTTAAGTTTTATGCAAATGAAATCACAGTATATCCTTCTGTGACTTTGTCATAACTGGTGGACACCACACTAAGACATGCCACTGCTGTGCTGGGACACTTAGCTACCAGGATGGTAAACTCTCAAGTCCAGTAATGAATTAAAAAGACAGAGTTTAAAATAAAGGAAGACAGGTTATTTGGGAAAAAGCAAGAGAGAGAGAGAGAGAGAGAGAGAGAGAGAGAGAGAGAGAGGACAGACAGCTACTCTGAAAGAGTAGCAGGCATTGGAAAGGTGAATACCTATAAGCCCTTGTCCAGGGCTGCTTTTATTTAGGTCGAGTGATTTCTCCCATTTTTCAATGGGGACACCTGGAACTGGTTTCCATCTGATTGCTCTCTGGCTCTCTTTGATCCTAACCTAGGCACCTCTGTCTCCATTTTTACTGGCCATTTGATTCCTTTCTGCCTTTTTGTGATGGATAGGTGTGGGAAGAGGGAGCCTCATAGAAGCACAGATTAGAATTATAAATTAAGTAAAGGGGACATGGAGATACCTCAAAGAGCTGGGACTAGAGGTTCCATTTGACCCAGCCATCCCTCTTCTGGGTATCTTTTCAAACGAGTTAAAAAAATCATACCAGAGTGATATATGTACACCCATGGTTATAGCGGCACAGTTTGTCATAGCTAAAACTTGGAAACAGACCATTTGTCCATCAGTTGGAGATTGGATAAAGAAGATGTGGTTTTTCTATAAAATGGAGTAATTACTCAGCCATAAAGAATGAGAAATTAGACTCATTCATACGGAAATGGATACATATTGAAATATACTCCTAAGTGAAATATATAAGTCACATGTGTAAATACCAAATAGTTTCTCTGGTGTGAATAAACTGTAATAGTACATAAGATCCTAATGAGATAACTGACATTGTGAAATGGGAAGAAAAGGGCTAAAGATGTAGCGAAAGTGGGAAGGGTAGGGGAAAGGTAATAAGGGGAAAATATGAAAAAAGGGAAATAAAATGTTTGTAATTGGGGAGGGGAGGAAGGGTGAAGGGGGGGCAGGGACAAGGGGAAAAAATGAGAACCAAGACCTGTCATGTAAAGGTACAAGACCCCAATAATGAATGTAACTGTATTGTATACCTAAAATGTGCCAATAAAATCAATAAAAGAAAAAGAAAAGAAATTAAGTAAAGGGTACATGTATGTATCTGGTGCAATGTATATAGTAATGCTAAAGTGAGAATATACATATAAGGATATATGTAGAGGTATGTGTGTCTTTTATATATTAAATAAGAGTGTTTAGGTAGCTGCTTTGGTCTCCTTTGTATTTTATCCAGTGAGGATGGAGGCTGGTTACCATGGTCTTTCATGTTCCTGGCAACACCCTGTTTTGCCTGACCACTCTTTCTGTTAAATTCTTATGTGAATTATGTTGCCTGGCTCCTTCCCTGGGTCTGGTTTTCTCTTTCTTTACCTTTGCCTTGGTAATTGCTGGAGTCTTAACTGCAGAGGCAAAAAATGCCTTAGTAAGATTTCCTATTGATTTCTTTAATACAGCTTAATGAGGTCGTATTTTATCCTGCCTATAACCTTCCATCCCCACAATTTCACCTTTTCACTCAGCCTTGTGGCTTCAAGATTTTTCCCTTTTATTACATAAAACTAGAGTTCAGTTATTTTTACCTGTGTGTAGACTACTGTAGTAGAGATACACTATTTTCTTAACTCATATCATGGTTCACAAACATCTGTCTGTACTTTTCATAACTCAGGATCATCCTTACCTGTTCTAGCTCATGTGCTAGAACCTCCCCCAGTGATAAAGTTAGTAGAGGTTCACTGAGGCATCAGCCCAGCTCAGACTCAAGCAGATTTTTAACAGCATTTTCAAAAGTGCTTATAAACTTTTGCAACACCACTAGAAGAGCACAAGAGAGCTCATGATCATCTCTGTCCTCCTAAAATGTATCAATTTGACTTTTCTGTGTTGCCATGCCAGGAGTATGCATTACAGCATCTTATGGATTTGATTTTCATTTCACTGATTATTAATGTGCTTATCAATGGATAATCATTTGTATTTCATCTTCTATAAATGCTTACAATTTGGAGCCATTTCTTATTGCATATTTGTTTCTTTTTTTCATTTTATAGAATCACATTTTTCTGGAAATGAGCCCTTTCTACATTTTATGTACTTTATATGTCTATTTTCCATCTATAACTTTCTTATTCCTTGTATAATAAATTTGAGTGAACAGAGGCTCTGAATTTTAAAGTACTTGAAGTATCATTCTTTTCTTATCAGTGTGCTTTATATTTCTCTAATAAATCCTTTCTCATCTTTCAGAAAAAATCCTGATTTTTGTTTTTTGCTTGCAGGATTATTAGATATAAGACTTATCTTATATTGAATTGATATTTGCACGTTTTTTGTTTAAAGATTCAACTTCATTTCCCTCTCTATTTAAGCAGTTTTATCAGCACTGCCACTGAATAGTCAGTACTCCCCAGCTGATCCATCTCTCTCCTTGGGAGATGTTGCTTGACTCTCCTCCTGTTCTCAGCCAGCTTTCACTTTTCCATGTGTCACTTCTGACCACAATACTTTCACCTTTGTAGATGGAGAGTAAATGTTGGTATCTGTTACACTAGTTTATTACAGCTGTCACAGCAGTTTACCGCAAAGTAGGTGATTAAAGACAACAGAAATTTATTCTCTAATAGTTCTAGAGGCCAGAAATATGAAATCAAAGGCTCTAGGAAAGGATCCTTCTTTGTATATTCTAGCTTGTGGCAACTCCAACATTTCTTGACTTAATGTTGGATGAAAACAGAGGCTCTGTCTTATTGGTCTTCATCTTTACATTCTTCTGTCTGTGCTTTTCTACTCTGATGAAGGCCCTATGATCAGGTTCAAAGCCTTCTCTAGTAAACTAGTGGTTTTCTTTAATTTAGCTGTATGTCCAAGTACTTTTTTTGAAAATAAGGTCACATTCGTAGATTTCTGGAGTAGGAGGGAGGCCACCATTCAACAGAGAATACCTAGGATTAACATATCCCTGCCCCCATTAAGTTTATTGGTACATTTCAAGCAAACAATACAGTTACATTTATCACTGGGATCTTGTACCTTTACATGATATATCTTGGTTCTTGTTTTTTCCCCACACCCCTGCCATCCCATCACCCTCTTCACTTTCCCTATTTACATATTCTTTTCACATGTATTTTGGCTATTTTGGTCCATTTTTTAAAATACTAAGGAACATATGAACAAAGATATCTCTTCATATAGGGTTTTGATTTAATGTGCATCAAATTTAGAGGCTGGTGTAGAAATAATTGATATCTTCATTTATTTAGAACTCATTTGATTCATTTTAATAAACCTTTAAATTGCTTTCCTCAAAAGTTATCTTTAGTTAAATTTTTTCACTTATTTGGGGGCCACAATATGTTTTCTAGTCAGTTGTCATTTGATCACCATTTATGATCAGGACAGCTAATATTCTATACCACAAGTCTGAGGAAGTTGCATTCTGAGCCTAACTTTAAGTTTTTACCTAGTTTACTGCTCCTTTTTTTTTTTAGTCCATAATGGGTTGTCTGTGGTACCAGGGATCAAACTCAGGACCTTGTATTTGCCATGCAAGTGTGGCACCACTGAATCACATCCCCAGCCCTGTACATGATGTTTATATTCCTTGCATAGGGTTGGCATATGTGCATAACACATCTGAATTGATTTTTTCATCCCTGCCCTCCCTCCCTCACCTCCATCTCTTGATCCCTTCCCATTTGAGAAAGATCTATCTCCTGGTTTCTTATCTTTTATTTTGTTCTCTATTTATAATTTGAGTTTATCATAAGAGAGAAACCATGCTGTATTCAAGCTTATGTGTCTGACTTAACTCACTTAACATTAGGGTCTTGAAAGATACATCCATTTTCCTGTAAATGACTCAAGTTTACCCCTATGGCAGAGTAGTACTCTATTTTGTGTAAATGGCATATATTCTTCATCTGTTGATCGACATACAGGCCACTAATAAGATATAGCTTTTATGATTATGCCTCTATAAATATGAAGATGCATGTATCCCTGTAATATGATGTCTTTAACTCTTTTGGGAAGATAACTCAAAGAGAAATAGCTGGATCAAATGGAATTTCTGTTTTTAGTTTTCTGAGGAATCTCCATGATGACTTCCATAGTGATTGTTCTAGTTTACATTTCCACTAAAAATGCAAAAAG